GCTTGGAATCCTCCTTCTCTCGCTTTGTTTTAACAAGCTTCCTCTCGATTGCCCATTGCCAGTGCTCTCTTACCTACAATGCACATCATTTTTTTTTTGTCTTTCTCATATTCTACGTCAACTCCAAGCAGCCTCGGTGTAAAAGCAGATGAAATGATTTATTTTTAACACTCACTTTGTCTTGTGAGAAGGAGAACTCCTTGGGCCTGCCCTCTCTGTTGGCTTCCTCTTAGCACAGTCATCTACATCTTGGCAAATGGGGGTCTATAAAATGCTACTGAATTAAATCAGCAAAGTGTTTCATCATATTTATTTTGCAGTCACTGTGACAGACTCTTTGCTGGTCAAAATAGCTGCAGTCTCATTGATTCAAGTGGAGTTTTCCTTCTTTGCATGAAAAGGGAATTGGCTCAACCCAGACAGGTGGTCAGAGTCATTACGGATGACAGACAGCAGGGGATCAGCCCCTGCGATTTCAGGTCTGATCATGGTTGTTTTCAATTCTCCTGTACACTCATAGAAGACACTTTATGTGTTAAAACTTGCTGCAAGCCTTTGATATCTTTGACCTTTTTAAAAAAAGTCTCTTAAATTTTTATATTCCCTAAGAAGACAGATGGTATTTTTTGATTGAATAGATAGAGATTTCATGTCTAAACACATTTCTTGGTTACAATAGTTAACTGCTCTCTGTATGCTCTGTGTTGCTCACAATCTTTTCTTGCAATTTGTTTTTGAATGATACTATCAAAAAGTTACAAAGAATTAAATGTGCAGAAGTCCCCCTGGAAAACATTAGTAATGTCCTGCTAGCATTGCCCTTTGGATCCAAAAGTGGATATTCAGGTACATAGAGTCCCACCTGCAACTACTCTTCCAACTACACCCTTCATACCTTCTGGATGGAGCAAATGTGTGAGTCCAAGTGCCGTGAGTAACCAGATACAGATCCTCTGGAGTAGGTAGGGAAGCTGTGAAAAAATGGCAAAGCCTGTCAGAAGCTTTGTTTCTGGAGAGGTGAGAAAGAGCCCTCAAAGTACTGATGCTGAACCTGGGATGGTTGCAGTCTCATGGAACAACAACTGAAATAGCTGAACTGGTGTCCTATTTTCTTCTTCCATCACCTGAATAAGTCATCTGGAAATAGGGGAAACAATACATTTCCAACAAAATAAGGAAATCCCTCTGAGCAGTTCTCATTTACAGCACAATCATAAAAATCCTGGCAAAAAATCAAACCCTTTCCCTATCAATTCAGTGCACAGCATTGCTAGCACGGTCGGTGTCAACAGTTAAATAGCTGGTGCAGGGGCAGAAGACAGAGGCTGCTGTGTTCTTGGTGCTACTGCTCAGACAGAAGATGAAATCATGGTAGTTCAGCATTGGGGGAAGACTTAACTACTGATTTTCTGGCTTTCTGTTTACACTGGAATAAAACTTGCTTGTGCTTGAAAAAAATTTTGGTTGTTAGGAATCTGTACGTGCATGTCTGGCCCTAATTATTTAACAAAACCTTAAAACCCAAGAAGTACAACTACCTACTTTTGAAAAGCTGTAGAAGAAAGTGGCTACAGTCTTTGCTTGATGGTGAGGTGGTTGCAGCACTCTATTTGTAAGAGGTTTTTTTTTTTTACCATAATAGTCAGAGGGTGATTTTGAAAAACTTCATAACAGATGCATGGTACAGGAAAAAAACAACAGGCCATATTTTTGCCCCTGGCCATATTGTTTATGCCTTTAGTGAGTGCCACTTCTTAAATCAATAGGTATTTAAAGATTTACTTGCTTTCTCTACTTAGTACAGACCCAGGACACATGGCTGAAGCTGAATATGGAGCATCAGACGTTTACTGGGGACATGGAAAATATGTCTGCTTCATGTAGCTTCAGATTTTGGCTTGGGCCAGGAACAAATTTTTCAAATTTTCAAAGTATTTTGGCATGTTGGTCCTTGGGACATTTTTGTGTTTATTTCAGACAGTGTGAATAAAGGCAGTAAGAACATTTTCCAAACAGATTCTACACTTAGTCTGAATTAAATCAAAAGCCAGATTTCGTACAGGGACCTTAAGCATTTGGTACTTTAGGAGATGATCGTTTCCAGAAGGGTGGTTTTCTTTGGTGATATTCTGAATGTCCCAGTTTTTAGCTGCCAGACTTGTAGTTTGAGAAACTTTGAGGCTGCCTGCTGATCCATATCATCGGAGATCTGAGTCTATCTGATGAATCTCAAATCGAGCATCCAAAAGCAGAAGCACTCCAACTCATGAATCACTTTGAGAGATCTTGGCTTAATTATATCAATTAAGAACAACAGTTTCCTAGTAGAAAAGAAACATGATGATGTGTTTCCAGTGACAGTCATGATATTATTGGTCACTTACATTTATTCATCAAATACATGCCCTTGTTTCACTTTGGAAATGTAAATCAACATCATAATGATTTTGGGTAACTTGTGTGTCTGTGTGTTTTTATGTGTTTTAGGCTCATGTTTGATGACATGTCCATCAAAGGTCTCTTTAAAAATCCAAGGCTTGGTCTAATAAGATTAAGACTTTTGCTCAAAACACATTGCAAAAGTGATGCTAGAATATTTACATTAATATTCTGTTATATTAGTGTAAAACTGCTGTTGCTGGTAGTAGACTTTGGGTTCATTACACCATCAGCTCTAAGTTCTAGTCTGTGAGTTTTAAAGAGTTCTTTTGATAAAACTAAAAGGTCTTGTAGAAGTGAGATGTGGAACATTTTGGAGAAGGGTGCAGTGCTATACATAATTTATTGGGCACAGTTTGTACAGTCAATTGTTAAGTTATAAATAAAATACAGCCTTGAAACAAAGATGAAAGGCTGAAACTGTGGGTAGTTATTTCCTCTGTGTTTCTATTCCAAAGAAAAAGTTTCCAAGTTTGTTCAAACAGTCACATTTTGGTTTGGTTTTTGATATTCACAGTGTTGTGTCTGGTTTTGGATGTGTCTCACTGAAGACTTCTCTGCCACACGGAGGGCCTTTTCCTCCGGTAGATCTTCTGTAGGCTGCAGGACTGTTCTTAAAGCTCAATGAGATGCCCAGGCATAGCCAAGGGTCAACCACAGGGAGGCAAAAGAGGCTCTGAGATACCAAATGTCCAGGTCCCAGAGCTGCTGAAGAACAGTTTGACTTGCATCATCAATGTAGGGTCCCTTGGTTGCTGTTCCAGTTTGATGCCTACTATCATGGTAGTTTCCTCCATCCATCTGAACCTCAGCTCCCATTTCTTTGAGGCTGAGGGTACCGGGGGTTGACGCAGGGACCAGCTCCACATCTTGCACCAGACAGATGCTTGTTTTCAGAGAAGTCACTCAAACTGGAGAAATGCTGAACCCATTTAAGATCATGAAAAATTAATTTCATGGATTTAAGAATACAGGCCATATACTTTTAGAATAATTTATTATAGGTCTTTGCATTGGTGCTCAGAATGAGGTGAGAAAGAGGTTTCTCCTTAGAGCATCTAAAGAGGCTTTTTACCAGTGGTGGAGGTATTTCCTGAATGTTGGGACCACAGGTTGGGCCTGATGAAACAACTGGGGTAAAAGATATCATTTTATTATAGGTCATGGACTAAGCATCCCTTGCAGGTACTGAGGAGCAGCAGGAGCTGTTTGGTTTGAAATCTCCCAGTTCTCCTACAAGAGGTGCTGACGCAGATACTGAGCAAAAACATTCTGGCTGCTGAAGAGGAAAGACATGACCAATTTGAACTTAGGAGTGAACATTTCCTAGAACTGAGGCTGAATAATTTCTGAAACAGTTGAACAGGAAATAAGCTAATAATGGGATTTTACAATATGCATTTCCCATATAAGGCATTGAAATGTAGCATGGGTTTATTTGCTGATCTTCTGGCTATTTTCATTAAAATTTCAGGTTTCTTCACTGCACTCTGTTACAATTGTAAGGACTTTGCTCCATTCCAGGCTGAAGCTTTTAATCTCACCGCTGTCATCTGTGGTCCTTGGATGGACCATTCCCAGACCAGACCAGGGAAGAGACTAGTTAACAATTCCTCCTTGCTGCCTTTTGTTTGTGTCGGGGAGCTACTTCCTTTAGCCCTTGAGACTGATGCATAGGAAGGGGAAGAGATGTGGGGAGGGCCTGTCTCGGTGCAGTTCATGCTTCTGAAAATAAGTTCCCCAAAATCTGATGTGGGGAAAGGAAGCCCTTGGCTCCAGGGAGCCTGCTGTCTCCCTCAATAAACAAAGGACTGGATTTGGGCAAGTTGCCCAAAGTGTTGGTGCAGGGTGCGTTCCCGTCCTTACTGCTCTGCCTGGCCTTTTAAGGCTATGTGACAGTATGCTGGAGACCATGGTAAGGTGTGTAATTCAGTGATGATTAACGAGCACAAGGCTCTTCTGCAGCTTCGGTGTTTCTGTAGCATTGGTCAAATTCTCTTCTCACAAGTAACTCACTTAGTTTTTCAGAGTTTGGCCTCTTCTGCACTGTGAGTACAATCTCTTGCCAGCTCTTATGCTACATTTATTTAGAGCCATCTACCTTTCCAAATGTGCTCTGTATCGTGGAACAGGTTTTGCTTGTAAATGTGAGGCCAGGTGTTCAGAAGAGGAGAGCTCCCATTTAGACACCTAGCAATTACTGCTGTGACACATACCGATCACAGCTGAAAACCTGAAATCTGTCTGCTTAGACAATAAAATACTCAAGCTGGCTGGTTTGTGCAGTGCTGTAAGAAGTGGCCTGGATGTGTAGATTTCAGGAGTTCTTTCAAACTAGCATGCACTGAATCACGGTCTCACTTTTAAACCACAGCTTGTGCCAAACTAGTTATTTTGATTTCTTGCCAAGCAGGGGCTCACTTTCCAGTTACAACTAACATTTTCCTTTTCTTTTTCTGCAAAATCTGTTAATGAAGGCTAAATGAAACAATGACGGTAGGTCTAGTGGCTAGATAAGAAATAGGTCTGATTCATTAATAAATATTTCTTTTCTTTTGCAGTGACATATTCGATGCCATGTTCCCTGTCACACACATCGCAGGAGAAACAGTCATACAACAGGGTAATTCTTCTTCTCGTGTTTTCCCTTGTATGTTTGCTAAGATTGTACAATTCACATATCTCTGAGATTTCACCCTCTTTGCTTAATGGGAAGAATAACCATATTCTGAAAACATCCAAGTCTGCAGCTGTATCATAAGTTCAGGGATGCAGGTCTTTCACTACATGTGCAGAGGTCTCCTACAAAACCACGCTGGTAGATCTCCAGGGTTTCAAAGTGAAATGTAGATAAATAGCACTTCAAATTAAAATGTTAATTTCTTAACTGAAGATAGTCAGGAAGTAAAATGCAGCTCAAAATGTATAAGGGTGGCACAGGCTAGCTGCGAGTAATTACAGATGGAAAATATTTTTATGGTTGTTGGGAATATTCAACACCTCATTGTGCTGTTTCATAGTTATCGCACTTGGCAACTTACCTGTGTGCCTGCAGCGTGCTGTGGAGGACTTCATTACCCTCAGGATATATTAAAGCATCTTGTGTGTTTACACTGAATGAAGTGTTGAATCAATCAAAAGAGATAAATTAATGCAACTGAAAGATATTAATAGGAAGAAATCATAATGATATTTTGATTTATGAAGGCAAATAGGCAAGGATGTTTCAGAAAATGAATCTCCCTGTAAGTAATCTGGTGTACAAACCTGTGCAAATATGTACCTGATTAAATACTGAGGCAGGAAATTATTGAGTAGTCTAGCAGACCTTCAGGAAACAATCACCTTTTGTATTTTGCTTCCAGGTGATGAAGGAGACAACTTCTATGTGATTGACCAAGGCGAGGTGGATGTAAGTACACTCTTACAGTATAATATTTATTTTGAAGTTACATAATAAAATTGTATACTCTGGCACGCAGCTTGATCCAGCCATGTGCTGTGGTTCTGTCTCCTTTCTTCTTGAAATAAATTTCACAGTATTGGTCTCATTACTTTGCTTTTGTTGTGTTAAGTCATTTGTGCATAATTTTATAATTGGCATGTTTTACATCCTAGCTTATTTGTCCATTCCAAGGAGGAAAATATGGTATCAAAACCAAGCAAATGACATTATCTTCAGAACCCTAACCACACCTGGAGGTGTGCAGTCTTTGGCAGAGCAGGCCACCATGCAGGAAAACCGAGGGTTCAGATCAACCATAAGGAAAATATTTTCTTTAATCAGTTAGCTTAGCTTATGTGTTGGGTTGTTTTTTTTTTTTTCCCCAAATTGAGATACAGCCTCAGGCAGTGAGTTTCATCTTAGAAACCTTAATTTGCTTTTAAAATTAGGTCCAAATATATGAACAATGCAGCATATTAATAAAGCAAAGATTATTATAAGTGTAAAGTGATCTGTTAGACCACAAAATGTTTACAGGAGTATGCAGTGGTTTAATCAGCAAGTCTTTGAAAATACGCTTCTTTCTGAACCTGCCTTCCAAATCATAATCTATTCACCTCTTATCATCTTTATACCATATGAAACTCACTCTTTTGCAGTTTTGCTACAAGTTCCTCATTTGACTGAATTTTCTACACACATCTTGTGTATCCGCAGTTGTTGGATAGGACAGGCTTGCTCATTAGCAAGCTCTTCAGGTGCCCAGATGAGTTTTGTTTGGCATATTTAAAGAAGAAAATGATTTATTTTAAATCTAGGCAGGAGGCATACGGTTATTTTAGTGAAAGTTTTTTTTTTAAGCAGTCTGTTTGTGTCAAGAGACCATCTAATTGGTATTGTTGGGAACTGAGAAACCTCATACGCTGCCTCTGTCTCTGGAAGTTGCTCCTCAGGAAATCCATCTGACTCACTGTTTCTATCAAGCATACCTCTCAATAGCAAACATTGCCACATCCACCCGGCCAGAAAATAAAAGAGCAGTATTTATAGAACAGCGGTAAAATTTAGTTTTAAAATAATTGGTTAGGGACTGATACTGAGCCTAATGAGTTCACTGGCTTTGAATCAGACCAACAAACATACACAGATGCACATATTGAAGTTATAGATTAATCCTCTTTAGAAATAATTTGTCCTCAGTCAAAACCTTTAGGAAAGGTTTGGCTCAAGGATAGTGGGGCATTGAATGACATCAGAAAACAGTCTGCAAAACCCTTGCAACTAATTGCAAAAAATATAATCTTCCATATGAACCCCCATATGCAATGGGGAAAATAAATGTCCAGAGCCTAGCCAGCTTTGTGTCTGCTTGTAAAACCATTGCACAAGGTGGTTTGTGGTTTGTGCATTTTCTGGAACCAGTGGTTGCCACTAATGACCACGATGGCTGTGGCTCTGCAAATGTTGAGGACTTGTTCAGACCACCAGTTGCTGTATTCTCTGTTGGGTAAGACAGCACCATAGTTTCATCATAGTTTCTTTCCCAGGTATATCCTGGCATTTACTCAGAAGCACCTTTACTATATCATTTTAGTTGTATATCAGAGGTTCTCCATGTTTTTATGTAAAATTGAAATCCTTTCATAAGTAATCTTGACCACAAATGGCCCAAGAAGAGACATGTGTCCAGATCATTTTTCATTGATGGTTTCTTTAGTTCATGAAAGTCTTTTGCAGAATAGTCTTAAATTTACCAGAACAATTCAGAGACTTGTGAGGCTTCTGAGATAGGAATTGGGATAAAATTTGAAAAACTGCCTCAGTGACTAAGTGACCTCAGTGCCACTGCATTGCAATTAAACACACCTGGGCTCTTAAGCCATATAGATGTTTTTGAAAATTTTATCCCAGACCCCTAATTTGACAAGCTAAGCACCAGTCCTCCTTTAAGTACGTGAGCAATTCAGTGGGACTCACTGTTTTGCTGAAGGAAGAGCATAGCACACAGCTTTGTTTTATGCTATTAGAGTTGAAAGCAAAAGTTTTCTTTGTATTCTGAGCAGTTTGCAGTCCGCCAGTCAGTTATGTTCAATATAGGGTATACATTTTTCCTGCCTTATCTTTGAGACTTGCAGCAGCAGATTTACTAAGGAATTAATGAAATAACTGGGTTTCTTTGAGTAGATTGCAACTTTGATTTAATGAGCATTATCAATCCCTACTTCTCTAGTTGCCAAAATCAGCCTATAGCTGATAATATCATCCTGACACTTCTCAGGCAGACGTATGGACAGTTTTCTGACGTGACCTGTGGGACAAATACCTCCTAACAAGACTTAAGAGATGTCATTTGGACTGAACTTATTCTAGGAACAACCAAAGCTCCTGACCCTCTAAATCTTGCAAAACTCTTCTCTGACCAGCTCTCATGCTGTTCTGCTTCAGCATCCCTACTCTTTCATCCTGCTGTATCTTACCACTGTTCTACCCATCTCCTCAGCTGGGTGCTCTCTCCTTCCTAAGCTTTTCCTATATCTTCAGCCAAAACACACACTGAATTCCTTTGCAAGATACTATGCAAGGCACAAGAAACTTTTGCTCATCCAGGAGTAAGTTGTCACTACACCCTGGCAGCTATAGAAGTTACCTACATTAACTGCCTTTGGTGGGAAGCTGCAGGGCGATGAGCCTGTTTTCCCCCCACAGAGTAAAGTCTTTACTTAGTGCAGAGTGACTTGTTCCTGTATAAAGCAGCAGCTCCCAGACCCCATGGGTGTGCACTATCACACCATACATTGTACTCACAGAAAAGGGTTCTTCCACTTTCTAGGCAGCAGGGCTAAAATCCTTATTGTCTGAAGAAAATCCAGACCGCTAGTAAGCGAGCTGTAGTTCATTTAAGCCTTGCCAGATACTTTTTTGGCATGCTTCCACCCTTCTCCAAGAAAAAAAGCAACTTGGAGAGTAGACAATTGACCCTGAGACTTAAAGCCTCGAGCCATTTTCTGCCTGGTTCAGTTGGTGTTGGCATATGCATGGAGGCTTTTAACCCCTGGCCAGGCTCTGTGCCTTCATCATTTCCTTGATCTGCACAGAAGTGTCAGGTATAGCAGGACTGGTGGATTCAAGGAACCATTTCCTCTGAGGACATCATGACTGATAAGCACCCAGGTTTTCCATACACAGGCAAAGATACACATAATGGAGGTCACAATTGACATAATTAAATTGCCCTCCCCTGGAAGAAAGAGTGACTTGCTCCTGTATAAAGCAGCAGCTCCCAGACCCCATGGGTGTGCACTATCACACCATACATTGTACTCACAGAAAAGGGTTCTTCCACTTTCTAGGCAGCAGGGCTAAAATCCTTATTGTCTGAAGAAAATCCAGACCGCTAGTAAGCGAGCTGTAGTTCATTTAAGCCTTGCCAGATACTTTTTTGGCATGCTTCCACCCTTCTCCAAGAAAAAAAGCAACTTGGAGAGTAGACAATTGACCCTGAGACTTAAAGCCTCGAGCCATTTTCTGCCTGGTTCAGTTGGTGTTGGCATATGCATGGAGGCTTTTAACCCCTGGCCAGGCTCTGTGCCTTCATCATTTCCTTGATCTGCACAGAAGTGTCAGGTATAGCAGGACTGGTGGATTCAAGGAACCATTTCCTCTGTGGACGTCATGGCTGATAAGCACCCAGGTTTTCCATACACATGCAAAGATACACATAATGGAGGTCACAACTGACATAATTAAATTGCCCTCCCCTGGAAGAAAGTCAGGGTAAAATTAAAGAAAAAAAAAAGTCTGTCAACCGTGCAACCAAAACCAAACAGAACCAACTAACAAAGCCAAAATAACAAAAGCAGTGTGTGATGTTTTGAGTTTAAAAAAACCGCAACATTTAAAAGTAATTTACTGTTAAGAGTTTTGGCATAGGCACCCCAAAGAGTAAGTAAGAGCATTCTAATATTTTTCCCTTAAAAATAATCTGAGTAAAATCAGAAGTACAATTAAAATAGTTTTAAATATAATAACACTTTATCCTCAACTCTTACACTTTCTTAGGGTATAAACAAGCCTCATTAGCACAGAATAAAGTATCTGTACATTTCCTTCCTGGTATTACTATGGACAGCCAAAGAAGACTCAATACCCTTCCGTTGGCAAGCACATGCAACATGGACTGTGAGCTAAGGGAGAAAGGCACAAATTTTCATCTGTAAAAGAAAGGATTTTAGAAATGAGGAAGAGGTGGGTCTTGGAGAACCTGGGATTTTCCTCTCATACACTGTACACCACAAACCAGGTATACTTTGCCCAGAGCTGGCATTAGATAGGAAAGGACATTATAGCATTATCAGTCACCGTCTTCCTCCCTAGCACTTCAGGGTTGAGGAGAATTGTTAACTCATGACCCAGCCCTGTGTATGGATAAAGTTTACACTAGGTAGATGATGGCGTAAGGTTTGAAGTCTTAGAGGTCAATTGTCTACCGGAAGCTTTTCTGCTCAGACAAATGTGAGTGTATGCCAAAAAGTAGCTGGCAGAGCTTAAATTACAGTTTCCAGTAAAGATGTAGAAAGTACCTGCTAAAGTATGTGTCTTGCAAAAATCTCTAATCCATATTTCTAAATATAAAAATGACTTCCTGTTTATTATTTTAATCTTATAACCTCACATTTTTTTACTTTAAAAAGCACCGTCGACTACCCTTTTAAAACAGCTATATTTTTTTTAGACTCAGTGACTTCCTATTCTGTTTAATGTCACAGCAACTTTCTCTACAGTCGTTCTCAGATTTGCTTCTTGTAAAACAAGAGCAGCCAAACTATAGTACTGTCAAAGTCAAAATTAAAACTTTTCAATATTTTTTCTTAAATAGCTTCTGTATTTTCTGTATAAAGTTACATTTGGAGCTATAGATTAATATTGTGGGCAATAGATAAGATTGTTTTTTGATTGTAGGTGGAATCTTCTTGAAGCCCTTATTTGTATATACAAATTGTCTGATTTGTATATACAGAGATGAAAATTGCATGGTGGTTTATGTGAGAATACTGTTGGATTTTAAAACTAGTGATCTTTTATGGTTAGATTCCATAGATTGCTTTTTGTTTGAATAATTCCACCATTAATGTTCTTTCTAATTTCAGAAGGATGCTTTTTTGAAATTTGAAACAGAATGTTTTAAAGTTTGAAGTTTTTCAGCTTGAATTTTTAAGGATTCTCAAGGCAGTCTCCAAGTTAATACATTTATATTTAAGAAAAACATATTCATACTACAAATAGAGCATTGGCTTTATTTGAAAAAAAACTATCCACATATAAATACCCTTCATGTTTAAGACTTGCTTATTTTTCCAGGAATAAATAAACCTCATCTTCATTTTTGGATAACAAATATTAAGGCTTGACATGACACAAAGCACAAATTATTACAAACAGATCCGAGGGAGGGGAGTTAAGATCTAAAAGTTGCGATGCCTGGAACAAATTAGATTGTCCACATAGATCACAAAGTGGCAGCAAAAAAAAAAAAGTGCTAAAAGTGAACTTGAAATCAGCAATACAAAAGTAAAGTAAAGGTAAATTTACTCCAATGAGGCTCAGAGGCAGATGTTCATATCCTGCCTTCAAGGTAAAATGGCTACATTACTGCTTGTGGTAAGGTTATTTTCTGCTTCTTTAGACAACACGAAGATGAGTGAGGCCAAGATGCATTCCTACTGCATTGTGCATTGTGTGACTCATTGCATTTTCTCTCGCTGTTAGCGCCTATGTATATCGCAGCCCATGAAGGAAGGAACTGCTGATGTTCACAGGAGATTTTTGCCATTTGTCTCCTAAAAAAATAAATGAAATGAACCAAATTGTACGATTTTCAAGCCCTCAAAAATTGCAATGCTCATACTACATGGTGGAAAACAATAGAAATCTGGAGTACGTTTGATCTGTGGAAAGTAGGTGGTCCCGATGGCTTGGTCATATTTGGACATCTGCAGTTCTGCATTCCTCTTCAGCTGCATGAAAGAAGAAGGTTCCAGCTATTACGGAGCTGTGATCGACCGGCCAAGTAACCATTAAGAATGATTCACTTATGTACTTGCCACTTTGGTGAGAGTCCACAAATGCCTAAAACTGCCTGAGCCAAAACCTCAGCCCAGCATTTTTTAGGATAAAGAGGGAGACAATCTGAGCTGCTGCCATATAACATTGGTTTTCATAAGCTGTTCTGAGCCTAAAATAGCTTTTACTTCCCACACCTTACAAACAGAGCTACTTTCCTTTCTACTTCTTTTTTTAAAATCTATTTTAAAGGGATTCACAGCGGAGCTGAACTCTCTGTTAAAGGGCAGAATGGCTTTGTACTGTGCCATCAAGGCACTGTAACTTCATCATGAAGACAAAAGTTGATTGTTGACTTAGGCCTTTGCGGAGCATGAAGCGCGATAGTTTTTGTACTAGAAAACAACAGTTATTCTCAAGCTGATTTCTTTTTTGGAGGTTGGTAATGGAAATGGCATTTTTATTGGGGGAGTGAATGCTGGACACAAAGACCGTCAGATCAGTGATTTGGTTCCACCTCAGCGTACTTTTAAACTTGACACCCTTAGGGTGGAGGAATGGCTATTTGCATAAAGTGTTTACAGGTGAGATGTCAAACAATTTTTGGGAGTTTTGTCAAGTAAGACCGCAAAATTAAAGAAGTCTTAGAGCAGTTTAGTAGTAGCCTCTCTTTGTAACAACCCTGCAACAGTAAATGTCCATCCTTCACTTGCTCTGCCTGGAGTTTTACCAGTGTAATTCCCCTCTCTGGGCTGCAGTCATGCCATGCGTACTGCATTTACAAGAACTGTCATCATACTGCTTAAAAAATACGTGTTGGAATGAGTTTATTTCCTGCTTATAATTCAGACCCTTCTGCAATAACAAAACCTGTGCTTTTCAACAAAAGAGCATCTAGAAATACGTGTATTTTTGGTGTGTTAAAAAGAGTCAAGGATGTGATGTCAGTTGATATTCAGGATGTGGTCCCAAACTCATTGACTATTAGATTTTCCCCATCGTTCCTGAGACTTTTTACTTAGGACATGAATTACTGTCCTGTAGCAAGCCCTTAGTCCACCTGGTGAAATCTCCACAGTGAGGGGGTATCCGTGCGTTCAAATACACATCTGGACAATTTTGCAATGATTAATTGAGTTTAAAAAATTTCATACAATCTCATTATTTTACAAGCCTTTCAGAATCCTAATTTTATTCGTCCATTTCTCCTGCTTGTTTCACAAAAAAAGACCCAGAAAGTCACAGTATTACCTGCGTGTTTCAACAGGAAAGTGCTTGGGTTTGCCTGGCTTTTTTAAAACTTGCTTTCATTTTTTTCATCATGAGGAGAATCAAAAGTGGATTCAGTGTTCCGTGAGATTTTCTTCTGCAATGAGTGTAAAAGTTTGTAAGGAAATGCTGTTGTTACTCTTGCGTGTGATGTTCTCGTATGTGACATTCATTCTGTCGTGGAGAAGAAAAGAAACTATAGCTTTTGTGGCTTGAGCTTTTTCTTGGCAGCTTGCTACCATCTGCCTGTTTGGGATTATTTTTACCTTTTATTTCAGCCCCTTGATCCTCAGATGCTCTAGGAACACCAAGAGCCTGCACGAGTCCCCCTTTCTCCAGTGAAGGTTTTACTTAGCACTCCAGTGTAGGAATTCTTCTTCTCAAATTAGATGTCATCCAGGAAAAATACTGTGATAGTGATACTGTGTTTCAAGAGGATGTGTTATCTAAATAGGCTGTGGGTCAAATACTGCTTCATAAGTTCTGTAGAGCTGATGTTAAAGACGAAGGATAGTTCTGCGTATAGCTTCTCAAATCCAAAGCACTAAGTAGTCTTCTCTAAGGGATAAAGAGATCTCAACAGTTATATTTAAATGGTTGTTGAAGGCACTATGCTTAGGGGAAAAAAAAATAAAAAAAGTTCCTTTCCAAAAGATGTTTCCCTGTTTTGACTGTTTTTCATTTCATGGCTATGGTGTTTTTCAGCAAACCTCATTACACATATCAACAAATCTCCTTCCCTTCAAGTCTGACAGTGTTAATAAAAAGCTAGAGTTGTGACAATTCTGCTTGTTGACTGTCTGAGCCTTGAACACAAGAGGGAAAACACGATGCCAGTTAACCACAGGAGCTGAAAACTCAGAGAGTAAATGCAGTCATTGTACTGAAGCAAGATGACTTGAAATTCTGTCCACAAAGCAGGTTGTTGCCCTCTTTGGGGACTGACTGCGGAAACTGTTATGCTCTTGTTTTCCTCCTGTGTCCTCAGCATCGACAATTAGAAAGGAAATTGCTAATAGCTTTTTAGGTAACTAGCAGTAGGAGGAAAACTGCAACTAAGTCCCCAACCTGGTTTTGCTTCTTGTTTTGTCTTGTGCTGTGGTAGGTTTATGTCAACGGGGAATGGGTCACCAGTATCGGAGAAGGAGGCAGCTTTGGGGAACTGGCGTTGATCTATGGAACACCCCGGGCTGCCACCGTCAAGGCCAAGACAGATCTTAAGCTCTGGGGCATCGACAGAGACAGCTACAGACGCATTTTGATGGTAAGTTTATGGAGAAGGGCTTGTTTATGGAGTTGATAATTTTACTTTCTCTTGTAGTATCAGCACTTCTATTCTGTGTTCAGAGTACACTGATGATGGAAGGCTGTGCAGCTGTGTTTCTACATAAAAGAGAGAAGACGGGACAATAACATCGAGTAACTAAATTAAGTGAACTGAAGGAAAAGGGGGCAAGATTCAGCAGAAAGACACTGAGTCAGAAATGCAATTGGATAACATTATGCATAACTGTTATACATGAATGAAAACCTCAGGAGGCTTCTATTACCCACCAAAGCTGTGCAAATCCCCTCCTTATCGTGAACCTCAAAATGTCTTTCAGCACTACCCCTTGCCTATGAAGTCTTTGTCTGAACTTGTATTACACTCTTCAAGGCAGGCCATACAAGGTAAATCCAGCTCTGCTAAAAAAAAAAAATAAATAAAATTCTCCGTTGGACTGTGCCCTCCATCTTCGTTAGCCATAGGATGGCAGCTGCAGAGTCCCTGCTAATGATTCATTGCTCTGCTCCTTTCAAACTCCCTCATCACTGCAGCAAACCTCAACAGATCTTCTGGGCACCTGGGGTGTGTGCTAGCTTATGGATTTGCTGCTGGTTCATGAGTGGTGAGTTTATAATGGAAACTCTGACAGATAATTAACTTTAGCAATGTCATAACTTTTTTTTACGAGTTTGTTTCCAATGTCCATGTGCATATCTTCCTTCTCCATAAAATATTCCTTTCTTTTTGATAATTAACAGACATAACTCTATGTACACTTCTTTCTCAATAGGACTTGTCTCTAAAAGCTGCATTGTTTCATGCCAATCTGAAGGAAATTACACTATGTTCTCAGAATAATAAAGGAGTCTGCGTTTTGAGATCATCTATACTTCCAGTGAATGTCATGGATAACAGAAAATTAGCAAAAGAATTGAGTAGATTTTACACTTAAATGATTAGTCTTTAAGCAACAGAGTGTAAGAGTGATCTTTATTTATACTGTGTGATGACTGCTGGATGTCTGCATGAAGCATTGCTGGTTTTCACTCTGCGTTTTATGGGCTGAGTTCTGTATCACATAAACGCACATCACACTGACATCTGGGAGAGTACATCTGATGGAAATTTACTCTGTCCCAGAATATTCAGACTGATTGCTCCGAGACAAAATAGAGGAATAATGATGAGAAGCGTACTGTCTTCTCTTTTGTGGATGAGCAGGATGAATAGTTTTTGAATGCTGCTCAGTGCAGGGAAGCAGGCAGTAGTAACTGAGATCTTTTTGTGAGGTATTTCTAAAACAGAGCAGGAGAATTTCCTAACAGGTTTAAGAGGCACACGCAACTTATTTGTCCCATTTCCTATATGAATGAAGTAGAGGAGTGTCTGGGATAACGGGTGCATTGAACCTGCATGGTGCAAGGAAGAATCCAGGGTATGAAAGGGAAGGAATTTAGGAGGGAAATAAATGTCAGGACAAGCCAAATATTCCTTGGCTTTTTAAGCATAGCTTTTTACAGCTACCTGTAACCTTGCTACTAAAGAATTGCAGGGACAGATTCACAGCCCTTGTAGCCCAGAGGTAATTTCAGTTTTAGCGTTGATGAAAATAGTGGTACCTAACATCATCCAACCCTGTGAGATTTCAGGTTTCATCATGTGTCCATTGCCATCTGATAGCAGCCTTCAGAAGATGAATATTTGATGCAGAGACAGGATTTTACTAAAAGGGTTTAAAGTCCCAAGAGGAAATGACTTGTGTTTTTAATGCTAGTTTTAGCCATACATACAACTTGAATATTATGGATATAATTCTATTTGATTCTAGTGTAGTGTTAAGTGTTTTTCAGATTAATTTGCATATTCTCTGAGCCAGTGACTGCTGTACTTTACCTATAAAGCTCAGTTTCTGCAGTTGAGATCTTTAACTTAACATGGAGATATTTTCTCTCCCTCTCTCTCTTCTTGTACCTTTTACAGCTAGGGCCATTAAAAATTGATGGTCTGTTGCATTACATTAGATACCCAGGCAGTATAATCGTAGTATTCCCAATATTTAGATAGGAAATATTTCAGGTAGCATGGTGAATTAATTGCTGCAGGTACAGAAAATGTCCAATTTTAAGTGCTGTCCACGGTGAATGCAATTTACTCCTCCAGACTACATCAATTCTGTCATCTTTTCATTTATTTGTAGGTGCAGTGTGGATAATTTCTTTGCTGTAGGTGAAATGAGACACCTGTCTTTGTGCATTCGTGTGAGGACAGGTTACAGTGGCTCTCTGCACATTTCCACAAGCCTAAGAATTAATTACATCATGTCTCAGAGGCTGCATTTCATACTTGAAGCTAACTCCACCATTACATGGCTGATTTTGCTGTACTTAATTTCAAGACATAGTAGTAGCTGCCTTTCAAGTCCCAGAAACATGGTTTCCTGCTATTTAGGCTCTAACTTTATGAATCTAGAAAGCTGCTGGATATTTTGGATGTAGAAATGCTTCTACCTTTAAATGAGAGGTAGTAATGCTTAGGATATCTTTTGAAATATGTAATTTAAGATGGTTTTAAAACTTGAGAGCGAGCATGTTTTTCTTTTTAATTTTCTTTCTTTTTTATTTTTTTATTTTTATTCTGCAAAAGTATTTTTGCAAATACTTTTGGCCACTGGATCAATGACCTTTTTCTCCTAAAGATATGAGTCTTTTCTGTAGTCAGATAAAGCTCCTCCATAACCTGAGATAGTTTTTTCTTTCGTCTACGTTCCTTCCCAGCCATGACCAGCCCCATGTTTTCTCAGTCTAGTGTTGAAATTTTGTTGAAGTTGTAAATATTTATTTGCAAGTCATGCCTTCAGATCCACACTTGCCAAAAAGATTTTATCCTCTCATGAGACACTTGACTCTCTACCTCATTTCTCCTTGCAGGCTCTGTTTTCATTCTTTGCTTCACATTTAGTAATTTTTAGTTTTTATTTCTGCTTAGTACCATTTTCCCCACTTACGTATCTCATTGATCTTGACTGGCTTATGGTATGAATAAAATGCACCTCAGAAGGTTTGAGAGTTTGAGTTTTCCTTCTTTTGGATGGACAAAGCCTGATGCAAAAAGTTCCTACTGGCTTTTAGTTACACTTGTCATCCATTTGTTATTTATCCTGTCCCAAAAGAAGTTTGTTAAAACAGATACATTTCTTTATATTTCATTGTCTCAGCTTAGGTACCCTGATGGCTTGAAGGTCACATTCAAGTTTGTTTTAGCAGCTGTGATGATTGTAAATGTTGGGATGGTTCTTTTTGTCAGGATGTGCAGTGAAATTGCTTGGCTTTCACTGGCAGTCCTTGACAAAGTATTATACCATGAAATTCATTGTACTAGATGGATTACAAGAAACCACTTCAACATGTTCCCTGCTCAGTAGACTCAGAAATTATCTGTCAATCTGTGTGTTCCATTTATTTCATAAAATTATCTGTGCTGAGTTGCATACTTTTCACTCTGTTGCAAATTTTTAAATGTTTATCTTCTCTGTGTGTGGACACCCAAGCGCGCGCACACACACACACACACACACACGTGTATATATTCTATATTTATTTACTTACATTCTTCTGTGAGAGATGCAAAGGAATTTTTTGCCATAGGATTCTCATGTTATTCAGTTGCTGAAATGTTGCTGCTCTCTTCATTGCAATTGGGATTCAAGAGCATCACGGAGTGGGGAACATCCCAGGGTAGTATAATATTTATATTCTAAATATAGCAAATACCACAAATACCAGAGTTGCAAATGTCTGTATCCCAACATCAGATTGATCCCCCAGACAATTCAGTTCCCAGACTGAGGAAATTTGAAGCATTAATTTATTGTAATTTCAAGAAGGCTAGATTCAGGGTAATTTAACTATCCTTTAGCTTCCATAGTCCAAGATACCTGACTCTGAGAGCAGAGTTGCATGGGATACAATACTTTTTGCCTATTTGGCAAACTTTGCTCACAGAAAGTGAGTTGTAATATTGGGATATAAGTCATGACAAATCAAGGTTAGTTACTTCCTAATGTTACGCCTCATTTTATTTATGCTATTTTGGCTTTCTTTTACCATCTTTTCACAGCTTTGAACCTGAGAACAAGTTCTTTAATAAGTACTTTTTTCCATGCAGACAAAATAAATCAGCAGGACTTTTTTCTGTAAAATGTAGGTTGCATGGTGGCCAAAATATAAAGCGAATCCGGAGCCTGCAATCTGTCTGACATCTGTGCAATATAGCACCGGGATCTTGCAGGTTATTTTGTTTTCACGGCCAGTATTCACGGTGACTCTTTCTTTCATGCTCCTGTAAGAATGTACACCCAAAGCATCATTCAATATCAGGTTTATGCAGGGATTAAACGGGGCTGGAGCAGCCCAGAAGGTCATTCCGGCACCTCCTGCCAGCATAACTCTTTTATTTGAAACTTGAGCCATGCTTTGCCTTTCAGTAGCCATTTGTTTGGCTTCTTACTGAAGGTGAGGATTTCTAGGAAGGACCTGATTGACTCCAGCCAGACCATCTGTGCACCTAAAAAAATGGAGCAAGAAAGAAGACATGAAGAATACTGGAAGGACAAAGCAAAGAGGCAAGCAGAGGGGAAGAAAGACAGAGACCAAACTGGAGGAGGGAAAGAAAATAGAAAAAGTGAAGAAGGGGCAGTTGGCATTTTTGAATACAATCCTATTCAACAAGACCTGTTATAATCTCTGAGGCATTAATTTTTCCTAGCCTGTGTATTGCTTAAGCTAAGCTTAGGGCTTGCTACTTTTTTAAGTGGTCCTAAAACTGACTTTGAACCCTTTCCTGGATGGATTTGGCAAATGCAAATGATTTCATTTCTCCTTGGGACTGTTTCAGGGAGGAGCACTGCAGCTTAGAATATTAACGAGTCTTCATAGTTAGTGGGAACCAGTGTCTTTATGAAGATGAGCTTGTGCCTGACAGCTCAGAATCGGGGAGAAAGTGAACAAAGGAAAGGAGGGAGAGGGAGAAGCAGCAACTATTGAAATAAGATATTAATAGGTTAGAAAAAGCAGAATTAATAAAGACTTTTTAAAACATGCCATCAAGAACTCTGCCAGTGCAGAATTATTCATGTACATTTACTATTGTTTTTATCTGGCTCAAGCAGTAAGATTTCTACTGTTTCCCTTGGGAAACTTTTCTGCAAGAGAATAATTCGTAAGTTGGGAAGTTTGATATTCATCTTAAATTAGATTTTCTTAATTTTCTCCTATTACTTTGAGTTATGTCAAGCTTTGCTGTACTAAACTGCCCTCTCTAACATATATCTGTAGGGGATTATCACTGTCTGCTTAAAATGCTTGCAACAATGCATGCTACCTATGAACATGGCATACCTGTGATCCCAGTGTTGAACTGACCTATACAGGCTGGATTTGTTTTGCTCCTTCCATACCAGCTCTCCCCAAGTGTTTTATCAGTTCTTCAGCCTATGTTTGATTTGGGAGCACTTTCCTAGAGAAGAGGTACGCAGGCCAGGCACTGTCACATCCGAGCCATGGAGGGGGTGCCTCTAAACTTCATTCCTGGATGATGTCTTTGAGTATACAGACCAAAATAGCTGTGGCTGTATTCTTGTTGCAGTCTGATGTTGCAAACCAGATCTCAGCTACTGTCTGTAAATCTCTTTCAGCTTTGCAGCTTTCCAGTCTTCCGTTCATCAAACATCTGTGCTTTGGATTTTTTTTTTTCTTTTGCATTTCTTAGCTGTATTTTCCAAACAGAAGCTCATTCTATTATTTTCTGCTCCCATTTATAATGTCTCTGGGTCCTTTCTTGTTATCTTCCTGTCCTGGCAAGCTTTCATAGTATCTCCTAGTCTGCAGATGTCGTTACTGTCTGATTTGTTGCTGCTTCTAGAAGATCCATGAAAATACTGCAGAAGAACAGATTTAGCACATGTCCAAAGGAGCGTTCCACTTCGACACTTCTGCAGAAACGACTTGAAGGGTAGTGGAAGAGGTTATGATGGTGTTCATATCTGTGGCCTCAACAATTTGTATGAAGTGACTAGACTAGAACAAGTATAAAAAGGACATCAGGAGTCAGAGGTGACATTATGTGTATGGGAGGGGGTGAGAGGGGAATATTAGGCTGATCGAGGAAGGTGGGAAGTAGGCATGTTCTCTGTTTCACGGGGAGGAAAGGTGATTAATACCAATGGAAATAAGCACATGCTTTGGTTGTTTGTAAGATTTCTATTGCTGGGTTGTTTTTAGCTTATATTAGTGTTCTCTCAGAATCTCTTCCCCTCACTCTGCTTGTGGAAGCTTGTGCAGAAAAACACACTCAAGTGAAAACAATGTGCATGAGGGTGAGCCAAGTCTCTCCTTTCTGGAAGGGAAATTGGGATCCCATTGTGCCGATTGGGATTCATGATTGTGCACTCTGAAACTGCAGAGACAGCTTCTGTGCCTGCCTAGGCACCCTTAGGTGAAGCTCTGCAGATGGGCAGCTCATGCTACCTTGGAGGCTGTTTTTTGTCTCCTCCAGGAGAGATGGAAGCTTGGATGGAGCCATCCCACAGATTGAGTCATGAGCTGTCAGTCGGTTCACCTTGGGTTTCAGTGTATGTGCTGGGAAATAGGACTCCTAAGCCTCAACCACTAGTCTTTCTGTAGTCTCTTGTTCTCCCTTACCATTGTGGTGTCATTCCCAGACATGGAATAGTTAAGAGAGTGAAGTTATACATTAAGTGGAGCCTCGCTGAGGTTCTAGAAACCATCACAATACAAAAAATTATAATAGTACATTTAATTAATTCTTTCCACTTCAGTTTTGCTTTCTCACTTGTCCTGATGGTGAATTCTGTTCTGCTACCCTGGCTTAGTTTAGCCAAGAACCAACACACCCATTTTCCTGTAGGAAGTGATGGGCTGTTGCTGTCCGGGCCAGGCAGGTTGCCTGCAATTCTTACCTTCCTGGGTCTTGTCTGTGTCTCTAAATACTCGAAGCTGTGGTCAGGAGTCACTTATGGCTACTGATTACTGCTTCTTAAAATTCATCTGTGTCCACAAGTCATTTAAAAAAGCATTTTCCACATCTGTCCCTGGGTGCCCCAGCCCATCAAACTAAACCACCAATCTGCTTTTCCACAGCTGTCAATTTTGCTGGTCTCGTTTCCCTGGATCACAGTGAGGAAAGCAACAACTGCGCAGTGTCCAGTTTTCCATCCTTTGTCTCACAGCGAGCTGTCAGGTTCTGCCGTGCTTTACAGAGCCTCCTCCGTTTGAAGTTTTTTTGTTGCTTTTTTTTTTTCTTTCTGGCACTTCAAATGCTCTCGGGGGGCCCCGAGGTTGAGAACCAGGTTTGTCAGACAGAGAGGTCAGACGAGGGTTACCGATGCTATCGCTGAGAGGTGAACTGTCATCACCAGACTCGGAAATTATGAACGGGGTGCAGAGGAGGAGACCTTAGTAGCTGGTGCTGCTGCCGATCCAGAGATACCTGGGACGAGTGGTAGCTCCTGCCAGTGCTGTGGCTGTTTTGGAGCAGGGGTGGCCCCAGGAAGAGGGGTGCAAATGGGAACTGTCCCCAGAGGAGAGCTGCTGGCAGCTTCTGCTGATGTCAAAGCCTGTTGGTGTTGGTAGAAGGATTCACATGGCTTTGGTGGTCGGATCCAGCCCCACCTGCACAGTGTGGCTGATGTTTAGTTCTTAGTTATGTCATTGCACTTGAGTACACCAGCCTTTCCCACTTTCATACTTAAAGCACTTCTGAACACTTTCACAGTGGGGAGAAAAGTGTTTCTTCTCCTTTTCCTTTGTCTATCCCCACTTTCTGCCTCTGCTTCCAGCACTTACCAATGCTCACCTGGAGAAGGAGGAATGGAGAATTGACTTTTTCTATGGCAGACATGACATCTGCTTCTGTCTCTTCTGCCCAGCCTATAAGTAAATGCCATCTTTATTTCCCCTTTCTTCAGAAGATGATTGTATCATCTTTATACTGTACTCCTGCCTTGTAGATTTGACTAGCAGGCATCAGGCAACCTTCAATATCCACCAGGAATCTACCCAGGCAGAAATGACACAGGCTGTCATATAACAGTGTGGAATAAGATGCATGGTACCAAGGAAGACACGAGTTCCTGTTTGGTCCCTAGGAAAGTTTTATTTTCAAGTCATTCATGTCGCTGCAGGAGGAGTTAAGGATGAATGAATTATTTTTGTATTGACAAAACTGCACCGAATTTTTTTGTACCTGTATCGCCTTTAAAAGTGTGTGCTGGAATGGCTACTTATGGTTTTTGTCTGTGGTGATCAAACGCTATGTAAACAGATGTTTTCTCAGTAATTTATCACACAATGAAATCTTGCTAGAGTGGGAATGACTGTGCTGGTGGCTGCACATACATTGATGGATTGTCTGCTCCAAAATGCTTAAATCTTGTTAAAATAATAATATGAATGGGTTGCTCAGCAGTAAGAATACAATACAACACTATACAGAATATAAACCAAGCTCACAGATAAACACTCCTGGCATTAAAGAGATTTTAACCTAAAAGGATGGGACCCATGAGGGGGATATTTTAAGTTTTATCCTATTTTGTAATTGTAAATTCCCTTCTAGCAGGGCCTCATTGGTAACAAGATATATATTGAAATATATAACTAAACTGTTAATTGATGAAGCTCTGGCTTTAAAATGAGTGCCTGTAAATAATGGATACGATTAATCTGCGGTGTCCAGTAACACCAGTGAAGTCAGTGAAATTACACTAGGATTGAATTTGATTCCTTCTTTCTTTGCTTATCAGCAATACAACTTGCCCAGACATTTTATGGGGAAACATTTGCCTTAGGCTGTTTTTACTCGCTATGCTTAAGATTTGGAAGGGGAGGGAAAAAAAAGAGCAGCTGTAGGAAGAAATCACAAAAATACTTTGTGTAATGTTCTACCACCTTTTCCTCTCTCCTTTAATAACAGGGCAGCACGCTGAGAAAGCGGAAGATGTATGAAGAATTCCTGAGCAAGGTCTCCATTTTGGGTCAGTTGCCCTTTGGACTTGCCTGTTAGTTCCTCTGTTATACGTGTTGGCAGAATGAATTTTGGTCTTTGGTGGCACGATGAAAGCAATGGTGGTCAAATAGAAGGTCTCATGCTTGCGTCATTTCCAAAGGAATGAAAGTGGAAAGGGCCCTTTTTAGGACTTGGTTTTTTTTTCATTCTTTAATATGCTCTGAACATGCATTTGAAAGACAAATCTTTTCTTAAATATGGGAACAAGCATGCACTGATAACCTTTTGGTAGCTGCTGTTGCAGTAAATATCATATGGGTAGAGGAGAAAGCAGTGCAGAGATATGAATTTGTCATAAAATCTAGTTACATCCTTCCAGGTGACAGGTGAGAAGCTTTTTCCTGCAAGAATACTGTATTTATGTGCACTAAACAAACTAACCTTCCAAATCAAAACAGACTGATTTTTTTTTTCCTTGTATGTATTTTACAACCCCTGTCTCACATTCTTAAAACATCTGTTTAGCTTCTTGTCCTTGGATTTTGTTTCCCTTTGATTAATGTGATAGCCACAAAATTTGGACATGTTCTTGATGGCCTTCAGTAGGAAAAACAACAAACCCATAATGCCTAACCAATCAATCACCATTAGGAGAACAAAAGCTTCTCATAAAGAGGACAGTGTTAGACAGTACAATGAAATGTTGGTTCTGTAGGAAAAACATCATGTTTCTGCTGGGGCTGTTTTGAAAAACACAGTTCAGGATTAGTTTGCTATATAATTATTTATATTTCTACTTCCACAATTTCCGTTTCTTGTTGATGGTATTCATCTACCATTCAGACTTAGGTACCTGAAATATGAGAGTGTCTTAGTGAAAATATACTTGAACTTCTGAGAGGTGCTATCCATTAAATTTTCAATTACATTTGTGTGCTTAAAGTAAGGCCAAGTATATTGCTCACTTATTAATGAAGTTTCCATCATTTAAAAGCCTTCTGTTATGCTTAATTTAAATCTTCCTAAATTAAGAGCACAAATTATACGAAATTACAATGAGTATTTAAGGAAAAAAGGATCTGTGCACCTGCACTAATGAGAAGCAATTACAACAATGAGACATCTCAAAACAATTTCAGAGTAGAAAGGTTATTCAAAGATGTGCTTCCTTAAACATGCGGTTTGCAGTGTAATTATATCCTAGTTTGTAGTACAGTTTTTCAATCTCAGTAAAAAATGAGGAAGGACTTCAAGATTTGAACCTTTTTTAAGTACGGAAAAGCACCAGACAAAATAACACACCATTTCAGGAGAATCGAGAATTTAGGTGAAATGTGTAGGGATCTATTTCACATGTCTAAAAAGTAGATGACAGCTGGGGAACAGAAAGGTATTTTGGAAATCTCAACACAGCACTGAGAAGTCAACTTCATACCTTAATGTGGTCAGAACTTGATTTCATGGTAGAAAAACCTCTACCTGCTTCTTATATATATTTTTTCAAGGCTTGTGTAGTGTCTGTAACTAGGCATATAACTGTAACAGCAATTTTTTTTTTTTAAATCTAAGGATTTTTTAGATTATCAGTCACTGCTTATGAGAAAACTAATTGTTTTAAATCTTTCTTCTGGAGTTTAATTAAATGTAAAGCCATGAATCAATACATACAATTTAGAAATTGCAAAAAATTGATCTACTTTATTTGATGCTTGACTTAACTCTGCAACTAAAACTTTAGGAGTTTTATCATGTACAATATTCTATATAATGCTCTGCTTGCAAGAATCATTAACCAATGTATTTATAGTGTATTAATTCCCTTAGACAAAAGAGAGACACTTCGTGACTAGAGATAGAATTAGCTTAGAATTTTTCATAAAGCCAACTGAAGAAGTTTCAAGAGACTCTTTCTTTTCCTTGTTAATTACTGAGTTATTAAAAAAAAATCAAAAAGCCTACTCTAGTCTGTATGAAAGAGTTTTATGCTTATTTTTAGTCAAACAGAGAACTTTTTGAATGTTGCATTGACAATGGTCTTTGATATTAATGCTTCTGCATCAAAGGCCACATATACACAGGAAAGGGCATAGGTGGGGAAAATATTAGAAATAATCATTTCCCAAACAGCAACAGAAAGTGGCATAAAAACATGAAGATGTAGGTGTGCCAGGCAACTCAAAACTTACCTTCAGTGCATTGATAACTTTGATCTGGTTTTGTTCCCAGACGCAGTGTGCACTTCTGAGCTCAGACAAAAGGCTTTTTGACTTTTAAAGACCAACTCTTTCATCCTCACACAATACTTCTAATCAATATTTTGAACAAAATGGGAAAACTAGAGTCTGAGAGAACAACCCAGATCTAAATCCTGGTGTCAGGAGCTGTGTCTTGATTTCCAGTAGTTCAACAATTCATAATAAGAATCAGCAGAGCTCTAGTACGTGAATTTTAGCCCAACTTTTTGAGGCAGTGAAGGTTATATCATTGTATTATCTGTTTCTTTTAATAACTTCTATACCTGTCACCTCCTTCAGTCAAATCTGATAAAAGCACAGAAGTTCAAGTACAATTCATTGTTGTGAATTCTCATGCAAATGGGTAAAGGAGACACACAGGTTTGCACCTCTCCTCTTCTCGAGGGCAAGACGGGTGAAATTCATCTCTTAGCAAACCTGGGAGGAGGAAGGCAGCAGGACAGTGAGCAGCCCTGGACAAGCCAATGTGCAGACTGTGTTATGCCGTGTAGGTATCACAGGGGATTTGTGGCAGCTGCAGGTGGGTGATGAGGACACCGAGCCACAGGAAGCAGGCTGTGTTAGCTCCATTACTCATAAAACAGACCAGTAATTTTTTCTTATTGAAGTTGACTTTGAAGTTTTATAACTTTTCTCGCTAAGTCCGGGAATGAAAAGAAAAACACCTTGTAAACCATCCTGCTGGCAAATGAAACAGAGGTGCCACTTCAAACATCCGTCCTGAGCCTCTGGTCCCATTGCCACCCATGCTGCCAGAGTCTTGCCCTTGGCTTCAGTGCTGCTCAGTCTCACCCACAGGGAAGAGTCATCTTTTGGATTGGCACTCCTGCATCGCTTATCTAGCAGGCCATCGGTACCCAGCTGAGAGTAACTGACGAAACGACAGTAGGACTTGTTCTGACATCTGGTGTGGGATGTGGTAAGAGGAGCTCGGCACTCCCATATCGCTGGTATCTCCAAAGAACTCCTAGGCTGCTCCAATCTGCTGCAGCATCAGGGCAGCGCAGATCAGATCGCAGGCGTACGGAACCAGAGCCAACTTTTCCTGTCCAACTTTTAAGATTATTATCTGGGTGATTACTAAAGTCTAAGACACAATGAATAAATACATTCCTGTTTCTCAACTGGGGGTTCGTGCAAAGGGCCTGGATGAAAGAAATGTTTCTTTTATAACAGAACTAGGCCTAGCAGAGCTGTAAGTTTAGATACGAATCTTCAGCCAAAGTTTGACTCTTTTTATAATAAAGCTTTGTGATCTTCAATATTTTAGAGTCCCTGGACAAATGGGAGCGGCTGACAGTGGCTGATGCACTGGAACCTGTCCAGTTTGAAGATGGAGAAAAAATTGTAGTGCAGGGAGAGCCCGGTGATGACTTCTTCATTATTACAGAGGTAAGATTGGCATCCTGATAAGCTCTGTCATTTCCTGGTAAAGATCAAAACTTTGTATTAAAGGCATTCGGGTTCAGTTTAATCTCTTACTTCAACATATATCTGAACCAACTCCACTCAAACCAGGAGAATTGCGCAAAATTCAGAACAATTCAGACACCAGTTGCATGGAAATATCTTAAGTGGGATGATCCCTTATTTCCAGTAAATTGAAGAGACGGAGGAATTTTGGGGTGTGTCTAGTGTCTTTACTATTTGAAGTTTTTTTTTCTACATGAGATTTTCCTTGTTTAAATTGCCAATAATTTAACGTGGCTGGCCAGCCACGCAGTGCATTGATCATTGTTCCCAGAGGGACTTAAAGGGGAAATCACAAATGAACATCTGTAAACTGGAGCAGGACACCTGATCTGAAAATGGATAATTTGTTCTTTGTTTTGCTTTAAACTCAGTCCAAATGGTTGAGCCATTTTCTTGTTTACTCTCACCCAGGCAGACAGATCTGTCAGGCAGCTGAAAATGCTGACATCTTTTTGGGAGATTATCTGACACTTCAGTTCCACCATCTCACTTCTGCAAACAGATGCTGACGGGGTTTTTCCTCCCTCTCTGACATAAATATTTGGATCCTTGATATCTCATACAAATACCTAAACACTGTAATATAACAAGTTATAAAAAGGTATTAGAGAGACTTAGACTAAGAATAACAAGTCAGCATTAGGGTATGATTGTATATGTATTGAAGTAGGAGCTTTTCATTACCAGCTGTGAGTGTTCCTACACAAATATATAGATTGGGAATGACCAACATATGGCCATGTGGTGACAGTTCACGTGCACATGCCAGGCCTCTGTGTTACATGATCAGCAGCAAGGTGGTGGTGGCACAGGAGCTAGGAGGTAACCTGAATCCCTCACTGTGGGAGAAGGTGAGTCAACTGGAAGCTGGTGTCATTGCGTTGCCTTGGGATCCAGTTGTATGTACGCAGAATGCATCTCTGGCTCTATCAGAATCCTGTATTGTGATGTGATTTAGGAGGAAACAGACCCAGCCCCACTCAGGAGATAATAGGCTTGTAGAGTTCCCATTTCAGATGGTTTAGAGGCCAACAGGTTTTTCTTTGCCTGCTCCTTAACTGTGAATTTTTGGACAGGTGCCTCTATCCAGGGCAGCCAAAATTTGGTTCATAATCAGTATCATAGAATCATAGAATCATAGAATG